GCTCTGTTTCGATCTCTTGAAGTTGTTTCGTCTTCATTTCGAGCTGTTCTTCAAGAATTCTAATTTCTTCATCACCGTCATCTTTCGTTTGACTTCCAACTTTCCTTTGTTCGCGAACAAGAAGTTTACGACGTTCTTCACGAAGAACTTTAAGTTTGTCGATTCGATAAAGACGTTCCATAAGTTTGTTTCGGAGTTCTTGTGTCATCTTGAGGAGATTAAGAAGTTCTGGATTCGATGCTTCTAAGAAACGCCATCTGTGGATATTCATCGGCGTTTCAAGTTCATCTTCAAGAGCACGAACACGACCTTGTTGGAAAAGGATTCCTTTCTCAAGATTTCGACATTCCGTTCGTAAATAAACGGAATGTTTCGATTTGTCCATCAATTTCTTCTGTTTTTCAACTTCGGACAACAATGTTTTCTTCAATTCGTCGACTTCATGGCATTTCTGTGTGTATGTTGCTGATTCTGATTTAAGACGGCCTTCAATAAGAACAATCTTCTCTTTTAATAGATCTAATGAATAAATTCTGTCATGAATCTGCTTTTGATAAAATAAGTTATATGTTGAATGCAATTGATTCAATATATTCGAACTCATCAACACTTTCATGAATATAAGAAAAATATGGAAAAAATTTAGCAAACCTATTGAAAATATTATTATTTGAATGATACACAATTTAATTGGGACAATGTCACGCCCGTAAAATATTTTTGCCATAATAATGTTAAAAAATGAACAAAAATCAGAACAAAGGGGAAGGCTACACTTTGACTATCTCAGATTCATATGTTGATTCAAATTCAACAAATGGACTTGTTATATTTAATAATCTAACAATAAACTCATTTTTTAACACTTTTAATCATTTATTTAATGAAAATTGTTCAATAAATTCTGGAAAAATTATCACTTATAATTTTTCATATCTTTCTACATTTGTAAAAACTGCTTCTGCAGGATTAGTTCCATCAAAAAAGTAAAAAAATACGCCATCATTAATTAATATCTTAAGATATTTTTAATGATATGTTTGCATTTGATTCAGATACTTAAATAAAAAGAAAATTTTTGTCAGTGAACAATTAAATTGCAAGTCAATAAGAATACCCTATACATTTTTAAGAGAATGCAATATCCGTCTCCAAAGCTTTTCCATTTCTCAATCTTCATGGAGAAATTGAATTAGTCTGTCTTCCCCACATATTCAAAATTGATTAGTTTCTCCTCTTCTCCTTGGAGAAAATCGAAATGAGCTCATTGGGTGCTTTGACCAAATTTAAAAATTTACCAAATATTGTGTTTTGTCAAGTAATAAACTGACATTTTAAATAGATAAATGTAAAAAATAGTGTATAGTTTTTCATTTTGGAGAAGTTTGTATTTTGGGACGAACTTTAAATTGAACGGTCAATTTAAAGCAAGTATTCAATTTTTTGGTCAATTTAAAGCAATCTTATATGTAGTTTGTTTTAAAGGCTTGATCAATAGCATATGATCAGTACTCGTTGAGTATGTTATGATGTTAAGAGATAATGGATAGTACACTTTAATATTGAAATTGAATTTGGATTATTATGCAATATTCTATAATATATATTATGATGATCATAAGAATGTGTTGTATGTGATGACACTTAAGTATCATTGATATTTTTTAATTATTGAAAAAGTTAGTAAATAATATTTCTTAATGTGGTGTTCTATTCCGTGAATTCAATAATCACTGTTTTAGAATTTATAAGTATAAGCTGAAAATGATAAGCTTAGAATGACAAGCTGATGATGCCGGGATAAAAAATAATAATCTGTCAAAATGGTTATTTTAATAATAAATAATATAAGAAGGTTAGGAAATGGACTTTGACCTTGAGAAAAAGCCCATCTTCTAACTTTCAGACGAATTTTGGTTAACATTGCGAGTGTCTGCTGCAAATCTCTGCTGAAGCAGCAGGCACTCGCAATTGTAGGCCATGGCAATTGTATTTATAGTGTTAGAATACAATTGCCATGACTTTTGTGTAATCATTTGATCTTCCTGGAAGGAGTTGCAATGGAAGCCAAACTCCACTCCATCCAGTATCAGAAAGCCAGGAAGGAAGTCTTAACCTTGAGAAAGGGCTTCCTTCTAGGCTTTCTGTGTTACATTGGATCATAATCTGTAGAGAAGGGAGTATTTGCAGATTCTGGCCTCTTATAAGGCCAGATCTTCGTATTTCATGCTTCCCAGGGCCGGATTTCTCTCCTGCCGCCATAGATCAGGACGGCATTTGAGAAAGCCGGCCCTGAGTAATGTAAGCGAGGCTCTGGCCTCTACTGAGGCCAGAGACTGTGATATTACGTCTTTCAGGGCCGAGTTTCTGCGAGAATGTCTATCATGTGGATGATCATCGCAAAACTCGGCCCTGAGGATGAATTTTGCAGGCTCTGGCCTCAGTAGGAGCCAGGGCTTGGTATTGTAGGATTCCCATGGCCGGTTTTCGCTCCTGCCGCCTGGGATAAGGGCGGCATTTGAGAAAGCCGGCCCTATGGATTTAAAGCGAAGCCCTGGCCTTTGCTATGGTCAGGGCCTGTGTATTTCTTTCTTTCAGGGCCGAAATGAGAGGAGATCGTCAATGATGTGGACGATCTCCCTCAAAATCGGCCCTGAGGATTGCATTTGTAGGCTCTGGCCTTTGCTAGGGTCAGAGCTTCGTTTGGTAAGTATCCCAAGGCCGGATTCCGCTCCTGCCGCCCGGGATAAGGGCTGCATTTGAGAAAGCCGGCCCTGGGTATTTAAAACGAAGCCCTGGCCTTTGCTGGGGCCAGAGCATGTATCTGTATGTCTTTCAGGGCCGAGTTCTTGCGAGACTGTCGACATGATCGACGATCATCGCAAAACTCGGCCCTGAGGATTGTTTTTGAAAGCCCTGGCCACTGCTAAGGCCAGAGCTTCGTATGGGCACTCTCTCGGAGCTGGATTCCTCTCCGGCCGCCCTGAATCAGGGCGGTCTTTGAGGAAACCGGCCCCGAGGATGGTTTGCGAAGCTCTGGCCTTAGCAATGGCCAGAGCTTGTGATTTTAATGAAGAGCCAAGTTCCTCTCGGATCGTGCCTAATGAGGACGACCGTCGAGGAACTTGGCTCTGAGGAGATGAATTGTGAGCTCTGGCCTCGATGAAGGCCAGAGTTTTGAATGGAATGTTTTGATGGGATGAGCCAATGCTCAGTAAGCTCGTCCCATCAAAACATTCGATTAAAAATTGAATTAAAAATTATCGTAATCATTGAAAAATTACAACAATATTTTTGAATAATATTATTATATAATAAGAATTGAATAAATTTCTCACAAAATTAAATAAAAATTTCCAAAAAATATTAGAAAATTTTAAAAATTATTGAAAAAATAACAAATTTGATAAGAAAATTAAGGATTAGAGAAATTTAAGAAATATAGAAAATGGTTATTTATTATTGTAATGGGAAATTGAGGATATTGAGGAGTTTTATACAGAATGTGATCTTTATAATAAGAAATGAAGATATTCAAGAAAGGAGTTTACAAATGCAGGGTAAAGGAACAATACTCTGCATTTGTAAATCCTTCTTGAATTGAAATTCAATGAATCAATTCAAGTGAAAGTGCAAGCTATTCGAGAAAGGAGTTTACAAATGCAGGGTAAAGGAACAATACTCTGCATTTGTAAACTCCTTTCTTGAATTGAAATTCAATGAATCACATTCAAGTGAAAAAGTGCAAGCTATTCGAGAAAGGAGTTTACAAATGCAGGGTAAAGGAACAATACTCTGCATTTGTAAACTCCTTTCTTGAATTGAAATTCAATGAATCACATTCAAGTGAAAAAGTGCAAGCTATTCGAGAAAGGAGTTTACAAATGCAGGGTAAAGGAACAATACTCTGCATTTGTAAACTCCTTTCTTGAATTGAAATTCAATGAATCACATTCAAGTGAAAAAGTGCAAGCTATTCGAGAAAGGAGTTTACAAATGCAGGGTAAAGGAACAATACTCTGCATTTGTAAACTCCTTTCTTGAATTGAAATTCAATGAATCACATTCAAGTGAAAAAGTGCAAGCTATTCGAGAAAGGAGTTTACAAATGCAGGGTAAAGGAACAATACTCTGCATTTGTAAACTCCTTTCTTGAATTAAAATTCAATGAATCACATTCAAGTGAAAAAGTGCGAGTTTTCCTAATTTACACATATAAATGCAATATAATAGCAATATCCCACTAAGCACAAATGTAATCTCAATCAAAACACATTATCTTCATAAATGTTAACAAATTTTTCTATTCACACATGTCTAATCATAAATAATTAAGTCTATTCATCATTTATCGTCTAATCAAATATAATTTACATTCTCATTGATAATTGTTATATAAAAATAACATAGATTATATTTCAAATGAGACTCTTAGAGCTTTTCTTATTTTAACATTGTAATAATATAGAATAGCATATAGATATATATGTAATAACGTATATATATGCTTATTTCTCTCATGTTTCGAAATGCAATGTGATATTGCACTCACTTTTTATAGAAATCTACCATACTCATAGGAATGATGACATATACATTTGTCTATCTATCTACGTTGTAAAAACCTTCATTAGCCCTAAGCTCAAAGTTTTTCTCATTCATTGCTTTAAATTGACCAAAAAATTGAATACTTGCTTTAAATTGACCATTCAATTTAAAGTTCGTCCCTTTGTATTTTGGATTTTGGAGGTTCTTGTTGTTATTTCTACAAATTAGATCCTTATTAAAATTGTTAATTTTTCGATCATTAGCGATGTCACAGTTTAAATTGGAAATTCTTTTTCTTTGGATAGTTCACACCCGTAAAAATATTTTTACGACTTTATTATGCGACAAAATACAGACAAATCTTGCAGTGATGAACTTTATGATACAGAACAAAGAGAAGAATAATATTCATTACTAGATGATTAAACCTAATCAATCTTCGGCATATTTAAATGCACATATTAAATTTGAAAAATGCAAAAAAGTCCAGCTGGGATCAATATTTTGGTAGTAAAGATAAATGTGACTATATACAAAATGGGACCGTATTATTTGATAATAGCAGTATCAATAATTATTATGTTTTACTTTGTTTCTATAAAGAATGCAAAGAAACTGGCGCAATTTGCATTCAAAGAACTAATAAAGTGTGTACATTACTTGAAGAAACAGTATTTACCAATTGTAGTTCCACCACAGAATATGGTGGAGGGTCTGTTTATTATAACTGCCAAGCAGATGGAGAGTTCGTCCAACATCGAACATGTTATTATGCGTCAATAGCAGAGCAAGCTATGGCATTTGCTCAAGCTGCTAAGCAATACCTTTCTAATAAAAACTATGCAATTGAAGTTTCTGTTCTTAAATGTGGAGAAAATGAAGAAAAAGGAAGTTACACATTTGGTATTTCTTTTGGCGATATATGTTTTGATAATAACAACATCACAAACAACAAATGTATTCATCAATAACTATTGGACTTTTAGGAAATTCGGGTACATATAATTTTTCAACATTTAGAGAAAACGCTCAAATTGAAAGTTTTTCGCTTTTATTTTCCTCTTCAGATTATTCATTAACTCATACAGTTTCGTATTGTAATATTATTGGAAATAAATGTGGAGCAGATAAAAACCAAGTTCTATTTTATTGTATATCCAAAACTAATTTAGATCACTGCATATTTTTAAATAACACTGCAAAATACATGTTTGGGCAAGATATAGATGGTTATAATTCGACTATTTCAGATTCATATGTTGACTCTAATTCAACCACAGGATCAGGAACTGTTATATTTAAGAATATAAAAGAAGGTTACGATTTTAATACGTTTACTCATATATTTAATGAAAACTGCTCAATAGTTTCTCATAGAATAATCTCCCTTAAATCGATTTTTCTTTCAAAGTTTGCAAAAACTGCAACTGCAGGATTATTTTCACGCAAAGTATAGATATAAATGGCAGTATTATGTCGACAAAAGTCGTTATTCTGTTCAACGGCAAAACAAATTATTTAAGCTGTTAAATCTTTTCTTTTTTATAAAAACTTTGCTTTTAATTTTTCAATTTTTAAATGAGGAGAAAACAAACCAAAAGGAAGCAATACATTTCTAATTGGATATTGTGAAATACTAATTAAGAAAAATAACATCGCAAGCAATAAATGCATAGAAATTTCATTGTATCTGGATTTGCAGGATTTAAAAATAGGCGTTTATTAGTTTTGAGAGTGTATGAAATTTTTTTAACTTCAAATGAATTCTTAATATTAAATAAAGTAAATCAAACAATTTATAAAATAACAAATAAAAAAAAACAATATAGAAATAGAAATAATTAAGCACGAAGTTCGGAGACAGTTGGTAAGAAAGGTTTGAGTGCTTGTCGTGATGGATTCCATCCTTTAGGTAAAACTTTCGAAGGACGAGAATTTGTTACTTTCGGAATTACGATTGCTTTGTTTATCTTGTTCCCTTCGATTGCAGAGATAGATTGTGCTGTTGAAGGAACTGAACTGACTGGGAATCCACCGCCAATGAACTTGGCTGTGTTTCCTGCTATTTCTTCTGTTTTTGACTGTGTTGATGACCTCATCTCGTGGACTTTCTTCTTCTCCATGAAATATGATGATTTAGTGTAATTGAGTTCACCACGAACTTCTTCAACACTCTTCTTAAGTTCATCGATGTTACTTGAGCGATCAAACAGCTCTGTTTCGATCTCTTGAAGTTGTTTCGTCTTCATTTCGAGCTGTTCTTCAAGAATTCTAATTTCTTCATCACCGTCATCTTTCGTTTGACTTCCAACTTTCCTTTGTTCGCGAACAAGAAGTTTACGACGTTCTTCACGAAGAACTTTAAGTTTGTCGATTCGATAAAGACGTTCCATAAGTTTGTTTCGGAGTTCTTGTGTCATCTTGAGGAGATTAAGAAGTTCTGGATTCGATGCTTCTAAGAAACGCCATCTGTGGATATTCATCGGCGTTTCAAGTTCATCTTCAAGAGCACGAACACGACCTTGTTGGAAAAGGATTCCTTTCTCAAGATTTCGACATTCCGTTCGTAAATAAACGGAATGTTTCGATTTGTCCATCAATTTCTTCTGTTTTTCAACTTCGGACAACAATGTTTTCTTCAATTCGTCGACTTCATGGCATTTCTGTGTGTATGTTGCTGATTCTGATTTAAGACGGCCTTCAATAAGAACAATCTTCTCTTTTAATAGATCTAATGAATAAATTCTGTCATGAATCTGCTTTTGATAAAATAAGTTATATGTTGAATGCAATTGATTCAATATATTCGAACTCATCAACACTTTCATGAATATAAGAAAAATATGGAAAAAATTTAGCAAACCTATTGAAAATATTATTATTTGAATGATACACAATTTAATTGGGACAATGTCACGCCCGTAAAATATTTTTGCCATAATAATGTTAAAAAATGAACAAAAATCAGAACAAAGGGGAAGGCTACACTTTGACTATCTCAGATTCATATGTTGATTCAAATTCAACAAATGGACTTGTTATATTTAATAATCTAACAATAAACTCATTTTTTAACACTTTTAATCATTTATTTAATGAAAATTGTTCAATAAATTCTGGAAAAATTATCACTTATAATTTTTCATATCTTTCTACATTTGTAAAAACTGCTTCTGCAGGATTAGTTCCATCAAAAAAGTAAAAAAATACGCCATCATTAATTAATATCTTAAGATATTTTTAATGATATGTTTGCATTTGATTCAGATACTTAAATAAAAAGAAAATTTTTGTCAGTGAACAATTAAATTGCAAGTCAATAAGAATACCCTATACATTTTTAAGAGAATGCAATATCCGTCTCCAAAGCTTTTCCATTTCTCAATCTTCATGGAGAAATTGAATTAGTCTGTCTTCCCCACATATTCAAAATTGATTAGTTTCTCCTCTTCTCCTTGGAGAAAATCGAAATGAGCTCATTGGGTGCTTTGACCAAATTTAAAAATTTACCAAATATTGTGTTTTGTCAAGTAATAAACTGACATTTTAAATAGATAAATGTAAAAAATAGTGTATAGTTTTTCATTTTGGAGAAGTTTGTATTTTGGGACGAACTTTAAATTGAACGGTCAATTTAAAGCAAGTATTCAATTTTTTGGTCAATTTAAAGCAATCTTATATGTAGTTTGTTTTAAAGGCTTGATCAATAGCATATGATCAGTACTCGTTGAGTATGTTATGATGTTAAGAGATAATGGATAGTACACTTTAATATTGAAATTGAATTTGGATTATTATGCAATATTCTATAATATATATTATGATGATCATAAGAATGTGTTGTATGTGATGACACTTAAGTATCATTGATATTTTTTAATTATTGAAAAAGTTAGTAAATAATATTTCTTAATGTGGTGTTCTATTCCGTGAATTCAATAATCACTGTTTTAGAATTTATAAGTATAAGCTGAAAATGATAAGCTTAGAATGACAAGCTGATGATGCCGGGATAAAAAATAATAATCTGTCAAAATGGTTATTTTAATAATAAATAATATAAGAAGGTTAGGAAATGGACTTTGACCTTGAGAAAAAGCCCATCTTCTAACTTTCAGACGAATTTTGGTTAACATTGCGAGTGTCTGCTGCAAATCTCTGCTGAAGCAGCAGGCACTCGCAATTGTAGGCCATGGCAATTGTATTTATAGTGTTAGAATACAATTGCCATGACTTTTGTGTAATCATTTGATCTTCCTGGAAGGAGTTGCAATGGAAGCCAAACTCCACTCCATCCAGTATCAGAAAGCCAGGAAGGAAGTCTTAACCTTGAGAAAGGGCTTCCTTCTAGGCTTTCTGTGTTACATTGGATCATAATCTGTAGAGAAGGGAGTATTTGCAGATTCTGGCCTCTTATAAGGCCAGATCTTCGTATTTCATGCTTCCCAGGGCCGGATTTCTCTCCTGCCGCCATAGATCAGGACGGCATTTGAGAAAGCCGGCCCTGAGTAATGTAAGCGAGGCTCTGGCCTCTACTGAGGCCAGAGACTGTGATATTACGTCTTTCAGGGCCGAGTTTCTGCGAGAATGTCTATCATGTGGATGATCATCGCAAAACTCGGCCCTGAGGATGAATTTTGCAGGCTCTGGCCTCAGTAGGAGCCAGGGCTTGGTATTGTAGGATTCCCATGGCCGGTTTTCGCTCCTGCCGCCTGGGATAAGGGCGGCATTTGAGAAAGCCGGCCCTATGGATTTAAAGCGAAGCCCTGGCCTTTGCTATGGTCAGGGCCTGTGTATTTCTTTCTTTCAGGGCCGAAATGAGAGGAGATCGTCAATGATGTGGACGATCTCCCTCAAAATCGGCCCTGAGGATTGCATTTGTAGGCTCTGGCCTTTGCTAGGGTCAGAGCTTCGTTTGGTAAGTATCCCAAGGCCGGATTCCGCTCCTGCCGCCCGGGATAAGGGCTGCATTTGAGAAAGCCGGCCCTGGGTATTTAAAACGAAGCCCTGGCCTTTGCTGGGGCCAGAGCATGTATCTGTATGTCTTTCAGGGCCGAGTTCTTGCGAGACTGTCGACATGATCGACGATCATCGCAAAACTCGGCCCTGAGGATTGTTTTTGAAAGCCCTGGCCACTGCTAAGGCCAGAGCTTCGTATGGGCACTCTCTCGGAGCTGGATTCCTCTCCGGCCGCCCTGAATCAGGGCGGTCTTTGAGGAAACCGGCCCCGAGGATGGTTTGCGAAGCTCTGGC